ACTGTGCAAGAATTTTCGCGACTACAAGTTGCCGCGAAGGAGCACCTTCGTCTGCTGCCTTAGGCCGAGTATGCCTCGTCTTCCCTCAGAGCCATGTCCCAGCTCGCGCCGAGAAAGTCGAAAAAACACCAACACTTGATGTTTGGGCCAGAACTAAGCAGACATGCCGTGCCCGGCACTCACCCTTACCATGCTCAGCCGGAGCAAAAGAGACTTCTTCTGCTAACTTAGGGGCCTATCGAGACCAGGAAAGGCTCGAATTCGTGTAAGGCTCCAAAGCCACTTCGTGGAGTTTTACCTGCTCTACTCACAAGATGGGCGAATTCCGGACGCATCATTGGGCGGAGACGGTGGCGACGCTCTTGATGGGGTTCAAGCAAAGAGTGAGCTACTTCAAGCAGAGCAAGACTCGAAAGGATAGAGCAATTCGCGTCGTTGCTGCCGAAGTTGGATGTCTAACTCTGCCATGATACGAAGATGAGCCACCACAATACCGATATAGAATGCTTGATAGATTTACCAAAACGATAATGGAATCATAATGTTCATGTCTCATTGCCTCAATCTTCTTCTTCTGCACGACTAAAGTACCTAGCTGTCTCTTTTCGATAGTGACGGTTACAGCTCGTCACACTGTTCATCGAGTCTCGCGTGACTCCACATCGCCCCTTAGAAATGTATAGACTACGACGCTTGAGGCTGGCTCTTTTTCCAATCACTGCTCCATATAAAAGTACCGCACCTCCACTCCGTCCCCTTTTCCTTTTCTCCGGATTTCCCCAGAGGACGGGCGCAGATGAAAAACGACCTGCCTATGTGGATCATCAGCTATGAATGGGGGTCGAGGGGGGGCGGGGGCAGAAAGATCGGGATATGTCGGGGGACGAAAGAGAGGAGGGTAGGACAAAGGCCTCGGTGGACGCATAAACGAGTAAGAAGGGGGTCAGGCGTGTGTGTGGTGTGGTTGGGTTTAGACTTACCACAGTTGACGCCCGGCTTCTTGGTCTGGAAGCTGATGCAGGGCTCACCGTGCTCGCACTTTGGCACGACCCTCTTTCCCAGGTTGAACTTTGACCAAGACTCCTTGACTTCAATGGGGTCAAAGACCTTTTCCGACGTCGCCGTCTCGAATGGCTTCGCGGAGGATGAAGGAGGCGTGGGTTCTTTGCCGCCGCCGTTGCTGCCGGGTTGTTCTACCGTGCCCACCGCTTCTGATAGTCCCGATAGGGAACGGATAGGTCCAGCAGCAGCACCACCATCACTTGCGGCTTTGTTCTTGGTGAAGGGCGATGGTGGATGATTGGTCTTTGCCGCGTCTGCTTGAGTGGGCGAAGACTGGGTTGGTGGTGGTTGTGGCGGGTTCTTTGGCTTGAAGAAGCCCATGAGGGTGCTCTGGGCCTTACCGTCGGATTCGTTGGTTTTCGACTTCTTGGGGGCTCGTTTAGCTGATGCTGCCGATTCGGCTGGTCGTTTTACGAGCGGGTTGGTGCTTTGTGACGAGGAGAGTGTCGACTTGGGGGGTGGTGACCTTGCCGTGTTGGACTGCATGGATGCCTGTGAGGCAGCGGGCACGTCTTCGGTCGTCGTGGTTGCCTGCGAGGCTTCAGGGTCTTGCGTCTCTTGAGTCGTCACGGGGTATTCGCCACCATCTTCGGTTGGAAGACTGTGTAAATCGAGAGGAGTCGATCCGGGGCTTGGTGCGGGCTTTGGGATGGGCTTCTTCATGAACATGTCGCGGATGTTGCGTCTTCGGTCGAACTCGGGGATGAGCTTCGCGGATAGGGGAAGAAGATCCTTTTGTGACCATTCCCTCAGCCGTTTACCGTCGTGGAACATACCACTGGGGTTCATCACGTCGAGTACGGGTGACTCCTTACCGTCCGTTATGACGACGTCATTCATGACTGCGAATACGGGGCAGTGGTCCGATCCCATCAGCCCCTCCTGAATATTTGAGTCCGTGAACCAGTCCTTGATGCCCGACGAACATAAGATATAGTCTATCCGGCTGCCGTTGTTCGCTGGGCGGGTATTCCTCTTTGTGTCCCAGCAAGTGAACATGCTCTGCCTGGTGGGGTGGAAGATGCGCGTCAAGTCATGGAGGACGGGCTTCTCCTTTCCTTCGTCGCGTTCACCGACGACCTGGCCACCGACGACAAGCTGGTTGATGAACCGACGGCTTGGCCCCTGCATCCACTCTTCCACAGTCATGCCCTCCTTGCGGAGCGTCTCCCTGAGGTTGCAGGTGTCCATCTCCTCGCGAATGACGTTGAGGTCACCCGTTAAGATGACCTGCTTCCCGGCCGCGACGAGATTCCTCACGCGTGCGTCGAGGGCGCCGAGGTAACCCAGCCGGAAGTCGTCGCGTGATGAGTCGCGGGTCGCGGGGCTGTAGGTGCCGATGAGAACAAAGGCCGGGAACTCGAGGATGACGCACCGGCCTTCCGAGTCGAGCGTCGCCTCGTCTACTTCGCTGGAGAGCTGGCTCGCGCGCGGGTAGCCGCCGATCTGCTGGTCTTCAGGCAGGTCGCGAAAGCTGGTAGTTGAATTTGGAACTGGAAGGACGCCTGTGATGCCTTCTTCGGCGCGGATGGGGCAGCATGTTGCGTTCCGGGTATATATCGCGACACCGGAATATCCTGAGGGGAGAGGTGAGAAACATACTGAGGGACGATGACCGCTGTGAGCTCACCCTTCTTGTATTTCGGTAGGCTGAAGAATACATCCCAACCAGGTACTAGTACCATGTCATCTTTGAGGTCTTTGCGCTGAATTTTCGTCTCCTGCATGACTACGATGTCCGCCTCGAGGGTTTCGAACATTGCCTGTAAGCTTTTGTCAGTAACAAGTGGGAACCCGCGAGGAAAGAGGATAACGGACCTGAAATGTTCGTTGTGTGCTCCATGGCTGGTACCCAAACGGATTTCTCGGTAGTGTCAATTGAAGTACATGGATATCCTCAGTTGAAGAAGACATACCTGATGCCGTTGACTGTGATACAAGGATCGTGAGCGAGCGGGAACATTTGTCAAATGATGGGGACCCAACTCACCATTCCATGTCACAATACGCAACCCCATCCTGGCCGGTGATTTGCTTGCTCCTGATATCACGATTGGAAAAGACTCGAATTCACAAACGCCGAGATCACGTCGCTTTCATGCCCATGCCCGAGATGTCAAAGGTTGGGTTGCTGCATCAAGCCCAGAGGTTCAAGTGCTATCTTCGCTTCCAATTGTGGAAATGGATGACTAGGGTATCAAAATTGCGAGTTGAATTTCAAAAGAATCAAGTTGCATGAGAACCGACGCTGGGACGCCTCAATTAAACTGTCAAGCCCTGGTCAACGCGACGTAGCTGCCGTCATTGAAGTGGTGAACGCGACGGTTTGCGCGGTGTCCCGTGATTGCCCACGCACGTGACCAAATGCGACATACTGCAAGTTGCTGCAACACATGAACGCGACATATTCTTCTATCTTAACCATGTGTCTCTCAGTGCAAATAAATTTCCTAGAATTATTGCACTAATTCTTTTTTGATCACTCAACATGAAGAAGCCAGGCATCTGAGTCGAAGTCAGGAAGGTATGCCGAGACGAGCTTCTGGTGTTGGTTGAGGTACGTACCAAACCCGGGCCCTCCCTTCCTGCTTTCTCCGCAAATGACCTGACATCATTTAGTCATCCCCAAAAGCCATCTTTAGGCCTTACAATCCAGGCACTTGCAAGGCCGTGAACGTTCCCGCTAGCCGAGCTCTGGATAGAGAATGACCTGATCCTCCGACTCCCGACTTCACAAAACCTCGAAATCCACCACCAACGCCCACCCGGCCGAAATCGAAACCTCTCCCCTCCACCGATATCTTCCAAACACAAAGATGCAGCGCCAGCTCCTCTCCGCCGCCGCGCGTGCCGCCCGCGCCCCGGCCGTCCGCTCCACCGTCCAGCGCCGCTTTGCCAGCACCACCGAGAACGCCTTCATCAAGGAGCGTGAGGCTGCCAAGCACCACGCCGCGCAAACCACCGGTTCGTTTCTCCGCCCTTTTCAAGTCCGACATACTTCAATGTTTCGAGTTTTGGGGAGCCAATTGGGCTCAATTGACCCATCGAGCGTCGAAGGGAGGACCTGGACTAGATACAACATGGAGGGAAAAAACATGAGATGCTAACATATTGAGTAGGCCTCTGGCGCAAGATCTCCATCTAGTATGCACACCACCTCTCCATAAATCTCAGTCGAGGTCTCCTCAAGCACCGAATCTGTCATCCCACTCGATATCTGCCCGGCCATCTCAGCCAATGCCGCTATAATTGATAATTGAGTATCACGAAGCAGCCGGGAAAGAGCGCGGGATTTGATTCGGGAACTGCTGGGGAGACATGGGAGACTAATTTCAAGAGTGTAAATGCTAACACGACGCTCCTCACCTTCACAGCGCCTGCATCCCCGCCCTCGGCCTCGCTGCCGCCAACGCCTACGTCCTCTGGAACGAGCACTGGGACCACTGGAGCCACATGCCCCCTCTGGAGGAGCGCGTCGAGTACTCTTACCAGAACATCCGCACCAAGAACTACCAATGGGGCAACGGTGACAAGACCATCTTGTACGTTTTCATCATTCTCCTCTGGTCCCTCCCCGCTCAATTTAATGCACGCGGCGGGACGAGGAAGTGAATTTGTGGGAGAGACTAACACTGAAAACAGCTGGAACGACAACGTCAACTACCACAACCCCGACAAGGCTTAAATTAAGCCTGTCTAGTTTGAACGTGATATCGCTGAATTCAGGAGACGAAGGAGCGATCCATAGACTCGGGGTGTGACACGCCTGCTGAGGGGGTAGACTATCCTGTACATTTTCCCTATGTCACAGCAATCGAGAGATGCGGCCTTTTTCAAAAACTTCAGGAGTGTCATCGTGAAGGGTATTGATGCGTTGTGCTATGTGAACTTGCTGCTCATCATATCCCTCTGCAGGTATTCCGGGGGTTGCTAACATGTCATATCGCAAGTGCTGCTGCCTCCTTGCGCAGGGCTACATATGCAGCCGCGTAATCCGCTGCCAGCACCTTATCCCCCGCAACCTTCATGATGGTTGCCTTCTTGGCCATCATCTCACACTGCCTTGTGATATCCCCGATACTCGAATAATGATCGAACGCCTTTTGTATGGCACCCGTAGCCCGGGTCAGGTACTCCCGCCTCTTGGCCGACTGCGGTGCCATCGTCCCCGCGATGCCCATGTTGGCGTCGGCTAGGTACGAGTACAGCTGCCCGCTCAGCGCTGCGGAATCGCACTCGAGACTCCGCGGCAGGACGGCCGTGAGGAGCTGCACCGAAGCGTCGAACTCGCCCAGCGACGTCAGGATATTCGCAACGGCGCCGATGGCCTGCCACAGGCAGGAGACCAGCCTCGCCCTCCATGCCATGCTCGCGGCGCGCATGGCGATGGTGAAGCCCCTCTGCGGACGCCCGCACTTGTCATAAAGGTGAACCTTGATCAGCATGAGCCGCACGCGGAGCGAAATGTCTCTCTTATCGTCGCGAATCGCCGCCAGCATGTCCTCGACCTTGTTGAAAGCCGCCTGTAGGTCACCCCGCCGTGTGAGGCAGTCGATGTGGAGTAAGTCGACGACAAAGGCCATGTCTGGTTCCAAGTCGTCCTTTTTGGACTGCAAGAGCTGCGAGAGCAGCTGCTCTGCACCGTCGAGGTTGTTGTGGTGCAGGTCCCGCTTCAGTTTGATGATGCCCCGGTACTTGTACCAGTATTGGCTCGGTTTCCATGATCGCAGGGCGTTCTCGTCGAGGGCCTCTAGTTTCTGCAACGCCTCGTCAAACTTGCCTCTCGCCGCGAGCTGCGACGCCAAACGAGATGTGACCTTGAGCTCGTCGTCGAATATCGAATGTCTCGCGTGACACCGTAAGAAAATCTCACAGTCCATGGCCGAGAGCTGCGACAGCCCCAGCCTATCCCACAGAGCAATCAGGATGGACAGCTGGGCGCCAAACATATTCTTCATGTTCCGCTCGACAATGAGGTGAGAGCTGCGAACCACAAGTTCGACCGATGTCGCCACGCTCTCGCCGTTTGCCAGGCCAAGCTTCGCTTCACTGAGCAGCACTGATGCCCACAATGTCCACATTCCCGTCTCCTTCGCCTTGACTCGCAGGTAGGAAAGACTCTCCTTGGCTGTGCCGAGGAGACTGTCTGCCTCCAGGTCTCTCACAAGGTCCGGGTGTGCTCTGCCAAAATGGAAAAGCCAGCTAAGTGCAAAGTTTAAACAGGTCATGTCGCGGTTCTCGCGGGCCGTTGATACGGTTTCGAGCATGGCTGCGACGGCTTCTCTGTAGCACCCAAAGTCTGCTTGCAAAACTGCCAGGTTCATCAAGGCGTATTGATAGAATAGTCTGTCTCGGTTCTGCATCGTGTAGTCAAAGTATTGATGGAGGAAATCAAATGCTGTAGGATAGTCGCCTGATCTCCAAGCATCGAGGAAACTGCAGAATATTAGCAAAAGTGTTGATCAACAATGGTCGGAGTGAGTTGCCTTAGATAATGCCTCAAGCTAGGCACGAGAAAACTGTCACCAAGAAGATCATGAAACTGGTTCCTCAGTTCCAATGGTATTCGGTTGCCGAATTCTACTCTTGTCAGCTTTGGATCCTGAAAACCTAGAAAGATTTGCTCACTCTGCATCTGCTCGATCTGGAACTCCAGCAAAAGCTCAATGTCGTCTGTGCTCACCGGCACAGCAGCAGGAGTACCGTTCCTCACCATATCGCCATAGACGACAGATGTGAGCGCCGCAACACCCTCCAAGTCCCACTCCGATTGCTCGCCCGTCATGAGAACATTGTCGAAGCTGAGCCGGCCAAAGGAAGGGTTCCTCTTCCGGAGGTACCCCGCCGTAGGCTGCCGATACTGCACGAAATCCGTCCAGAGCTGCGTCGCATCGTGGAACAGCAGCCTTGTGAACTCGAGCTGGCACCGCCGCACAAACTGACCCAGCGGCGAGTTTCTCGACAGTGTGATCCCAGGTTTCTGCTGCTGCTCCTGCAACAGCTGCGCGGCAATGGTCTCGTCGCCGCCCGCCGCCCGCAGCAGCTCTTCCTTCGTCTTGGCCAGACACTGCGACTGGCGCGCGAAGAAGTCGTGGAGCAGATCGAGAGAGTTGATCCCCCATAGCTTGGCGAGGAACGTGTCCCATAGCTTCCGCCCCGGCAGGCCGACAACGACGGAGTGGGCGCTCAGCAGCTTTTCAAAGTCCTTGATGCCGATGACGAGGCTGACGGTGCTCTCGGCTTTCCTCCAACGCGTGTCCTTGCTGGCGGTGTTGGTGAAGGACTGAGGGTCTGGGTCGAGGAGATGTGATGTGATGAAGGAGAGCACGGGGATGATTGCCGTGGCGGGGACATGTTCGTCCGTGTACAGCTCGATGAGAGCGAGGAGGCCAATCTTGGCAGGCGTGAGGTATCGAGCCATTATGGGCTCTGCTTGCGAAAGTTATGCAGCTTCGTCAAATATTCAGTCCCAATGGGGTTGGCTTGCCCGGAAGCTCATCGGATGGCGTGAACGGTGAACCCGTGGGCGTCGCGGTTGACCATGTCACTTGAGCTAGGTGAGGTCAAGCAGCACGGCGCGTCGCGCCTGCGTCAACTGAAGGTCCCGTAGCAACCAAATTTCAACCAGGAGATGTCAGCCGGGTGAGAAGTGATTACAAAGCACGAAACAACGTCCGAAATCTTGGCGGCTAGAGCTGTCCTGTTTGTTAGTCTCGGTGTTGACAGTGAGGTTTCTGTGATGTTGGGCGTCCCCACAGCAGCCAGCGAGAAATGTGATTGGTCACCAATGCTTGTATGGCTCGTGAACGTCTGTTTCGCGACTACATTCACGACACACATCGCTGTCGAGTATTATACGTCGAAGTTGGAAATTTTCTCAGGGGAAGGCGATTGATTCTAATTGAGTGGCAAATCTTCAAAATCACAGTAGCGATTCAACCAAAGAAGATTTATTCTGAGGTGTTACGTTGAACGATGTCATCTCTTCCCCGAAGCGTTACACCTGGTTCTTGACATGATGCATTACATTTGTACCTTATCTTACAGATATTGCTACAATATTTGATGATGGGCTGAGGTCTTCGGCCGGGCCGGCTATTGAACTCAAATTCAAGCCAGCATGTGCCCTCTAGCGAACCTGCTCTGTTCAGGAGCTTGTGATGCATTCCCAGACCGGCACTCCCGATTTCGAAGTCAGCATCTGTTCAAAAATTCTCCGATTTTCTCACGTCTCTTTCCAACGAATGCTCTCCCCCTGCCGATTCCTCAACTCGCTCTCCCGCGCCTCTCTCGCCTCATCCGCGGCCAAAATATCACTCTCACTGCCCCCATCAACCTCATCAACATCATTCGTTGCCCAAATCCTCTCGATGCAGAGCTCAAACGGCCCCGGCACCCGATCCGTAAGCCCCACGCCAACCGTCGTGACCTTGGACCTTAGCATCTCCGTCTGTGGCTCAATAACGAAGCCGTGATTCGTCCTTACGAACTCGTTCCACTTGACAAACACCGTCTCCCACTCCCCGGGCCGCTTGGCGAACAGCCTGTGCTGGTGCAAATCCGTCGGTACCACCGAGTCCGTCTGCAGGTTGATAAAGTAGCTCCGGCCGTCCGACTTCACGCGCATCGCGAGGTAGGAGTACGGGTCAATGTCCCAGACGGCCTTGCCGAAGAGCGTGGGCTTCTGGTCTGGCGTCCGCCATGCCGCGAAGCCTGTGCGTTGGATTTTGGGGTCGTTTTTGGGGAGGTCTGTTGATATTGTGCCGTGGAAGCGGGCGTGGCCTGCGCTTGTCGTCGGCGTGCTTTGTGGTGATGTTGTCGTCGCTGTCGAGGAGGGGGTGGAGGAGACCCATTCGAGGGCGCTGTGGGAGAAGCCGCCAATCTCTTGGTCGGACATGAGTTTGCAGTCGTCGGTCGAGCCCGGTGCGCGGAAGTCTTGGAGGATGTAGGGACCCGAGGGGCCCTTGATGCCTTCGGCTTTTGCGACTGTCGCAATGTTACGTTAGCTTTCTTGACCCGTACAATCCAGGTAAGGGTAACTAGTGTATAGTCGGAACTTACCAATACTTGCGCGACGCTTGAACTCGTCCATGGTTCGGGAGAATATGCCCTTGGCCATCAGGGAGGGCGTCGCGCGCATCTTTGCGGTCGTTTCGCCGGCGCCGCCGACAGGTTAGCTTTCTAAGTGATTTTTCGGCTGTTCGGATTCGAAGCTCGCTCGCGCGATGCGCCCGTGGTGCTGTCGAGTCTGTGGGCGGCGATTGGCAATTGACCTCCGTGCCTCTCTCCGTGTCCCGTTTCGGCGGGAAATTTGGCAAGTTTAGCTCTCCGGTTACGATCGTCAACTGTTGCTCAGAGTAATATTCCCGGTTGCTTGTCTTGGAGCTTTCGGCACCAATGTAAGGTACATGGGTACCAGTACAACGAGCTCGAGCTTACATGCGGGGGAAAGAAAGACCGTGTTCCGCCTTCAACGACACCTCATCTCCCATTCCCTACAACCACCATTCATTGGAGGTCATCATAGTCTAGGCCTTGCCGTGGAAAATGCGCAAAGCTGTCCAGGATTACACTACTGGGTTTTTACAGTCTGATCCGGTCAATTCGTTACACTGCTGAGTTCAAAATTCCCTCAAACCTTTAACAAACCGATTGCCCGTGAACCTCTATTGCCTCTGTAAACTTTCAGCCGACTTAGGGAGCATTATCACGCGCCAGCACCACTGACCCCGTCTCTGAACAAGACAGTCGATTTACCCCATGTCCACTACAAGTGTATGACGTTCAGTATGTCACAATCACATGCGAAGTGGGAGGCTCAAAAAGGTCTACTCAAGCGTGCATTCCTGACTGATCTATCCGTAATGGTAGTGAATGTCCTTACACCTCGAGTAGACAACGGCGCTTTCTGCACAAAACCCAAGTTCATCTATGATCCCCAATTCCTGTTCTCTATAACCGAGTCATTCCGATCATTCGAGTACAAGACCAAGGTCCTGGCATATTTGAACCCCTCCAATGCTTTCAAGTTCCCACCGTATCTGAAGAAAAAAACCACCAAACTTTTGTTGAAGAGGAAAATCTTGTAGTAAAACACAAGATTCGAAGAAGGGTAAACACACTATTTGGAACCCAAAGAGGATTCGAAAGAAATATTTGGAATGAACCAAGAGAAGTCCGGAGTCTAGTTGGAACGGTCGGAGCCGTCAGTGACGAAGGCCTGGTTGACATCACTCATGACAGGCTCGGACTGCATCAGACCAGTGAAGGGCATCTGAGGGTGGTGGGCCGGGGAAGAGTGCGGCGCGAAATCGCGAGTGAACGGAGTCCAGAGAGGAGTGCCGTGGCCGTAGCCCCAGAAGCCAACGGGAGACTGCTGAACAGGGGTCTGGACGGGGCCACCCTGAGCATAGTACGGCATGCCATTGTTGTTGTTGTGCATAGGAGTTCCCATCTGAGAAGGAACGGGGGGAGGGGCCATGGGGTACTGGACCGGAGTCTGCTGCATGGGCATTCCCTGGGCCATGGGCTGGCTGATCTGCTGACCCATGGGCTGCGCGTTCATGGGAGCCTGCTGAATCATCTGCTGGTTCATGTTGTGACCCATGGGCTGCGCATTCATGGGAGACTGCTGAGCGATCTGGTTGTTCATATGGGTGCTCATCTGGTTGCTCATGGGCTGCATGTGCATAGGAGAGTGTATAGCAGGCTGAACCTGCTGCATCGGGCCAGGCTGCATCTGCATCTGCGAAACGATCTGGTTGTTCAAGGGCTGCTGAGTCTGGATCTGCATGCCCTGGTTGCTGTTGATCTGTGGGTGCATCTGAGTCTGAGTCTGGATGCTCTGCATGTTCTGCTGCATGTTCTGCTGCACGCTCTGCTGGGTGTTCTGCTGAGTGTTCTGCTGCATGCAATCGCCATTCTGCGGAGCCTGCAGCGACTGCGTGCCAACCATCAGGCCATGTCTGGGGTTGAGAGGATAGCTAGGTGGCATGACAGTCAAGGTGCCCTGGGCAGCCTCGGAGGAGGGAGCAGCCTCGATGGCCAGGCTGGTCAGGCGCTGCTGAACGTGGCTAAGACGAGCAGGAGTAGAAGCGACACTGCCATGGTAGCTGTTGTTCTGAAAGGCGCGGTTGCTGCCACCGCCGTTGAAGCCGCCGTAGCGACGACGTCTATCCATACGCTGTTGAACGCGGATGATGTGGTCCTCGACGAGGGAGTCATTCTAGTGAGCATGTCAGCTTGAAGGTTCTTCACACTTCAGTCAAGTAAGACTTACGAAACGCTCAATGGCAGACCGGGCATAGCTGACGTTGGTGAACTCAACAAAAGCAATCTGCTTGGGACCGTCTGTGCAGCTGTCAGTTTCGTTCACATAAGCATAGGAGGTATTGATTGAGACTCACCCTCGTAAGCGCACTGCTGGGTATGAACGGCAACCACACCTCCAATTTGATCCATGAGGTTGCGAATCTTGTCCTCGGTGAAACCGAGGGGGAGATCACCCATGAAGATGGAACGGCCGTCACGCTCTGCAGTGTTGTTCTCCATGGGAGGACGGTGAGGCATGCGAGCGCGGATCTGCATGGCCTTCTTGAAGTCGTACGACTCAACCCTGTATGTGTGGTTCATGCGGAAAGCCCGAAGCACCTGCTGAGAGGGATCATGAACAGCGAACTGGACACGAACAGTGACCGGAAGTCCGAGCTTCTCTTGAATCTCCTTGTCCAAAAGGTTGATTCTGTCAAGGGCGCCGAATGGAGTCAAGAGCTCCTGGGCCTCCTCAACCGTCATATTAACTCGATCATGGCGGTAGATGATGTAGGTGCCTATGTTAGAATGTCAGCTTCAATCACGAGAACGTAAGGAGAACGAACTCACGGTTGGCGCGAACAGTCTCGGTGCGGCACGGGCGACCAAGAATCAAGCTTCCTCTGCCCTGGATGCGGGCATTCTCGGCATCCTCCTTCGTCTGTGATTGTGTTAGCGAGGCTGTCGAGAGTGAATACCATGTGGAAAGCTGCTTACATTGAATTGAACGAAGGCGTAGGGCATGCCGCTTCCATCGCGACGAATCTTGACGAAGACAACGCCGAAGCGGTCGAACTCGCTGATCACAGCGGCCTCGAGAGTTATGTCATCCTTGTACTCAGGGAGGCTGATATGATAAATTAGTGTTGAGCACTGATGAGCTTCTCTCGAGATTGGAACTTACTTGGCAACGAAGATGCAAGAACCAGTAGGGAAGCCGAACTGAGAGGTACCGGCGACATTGCGCACGAAGGAAGAGATGCCCTTGCTGGGAGAGCCACCGACATACTCATTGCGCTGAGACATGCCATTGCCACCAATCTCCGAGGTCTGGAGGTTGCTCTGACCGAGGGTGTAAGACAAGGCCGTGACCACGGGATCCTTACCTGAGCCAGACGCGGTCTCGGTGAAGACATCGCTAGCGGTGGTCTCAGGGATGGTGGAGCGGCTGCCACCCCTATGAAACAAAGTCAGATTATGTCCAGAACGTGATGGAAATTCCAAACTTACACAGCGGCTGTGGCGGACGAAGTAGGACGCAGCGCCTTGGCGGCATCCTTGGAAGAACGACTATCAAATGTCAGTGGTGATGAGAAAATGCCGTAGAACAGATGTCACTTACGAAGGACTGCCTCTCAGAGAGGAAGTGTTCAACTGCGCCGAGCTCTCAGCTGTCTCAAGAGACGCGAGCAAGCCGTACGGGTTACCCGCGAGGTACTCGTTGGTAAGGCGGACGCCGCCGCCAGTCTCACCATCCTCCGAGGAGGAGGAGGACTTTCCGGTGGACTTGCGACCATTGCGGTCGCCAGCCTGGCCAGCATTCTGCGAGGCCATCGCAGCAACGCGGAGCGCCTGCTCACGGTCGTGCTGGATGCCCAGCTGCTCAAGACGCTCCATGAACATGGCTCTGTCAGCCGGGTCAGCCAGGAGATCGCTCATTGAAGCCATCGCGAATGTGTATGCTGAAGTTGTTAATTTCGCAAACGACGGTTTCGAGGATTGAGAGCTTCGAGAATGATGAGATTGGATATGAGAAAGTGATGTAGGCAAGAAGCAGTGGAAGCTTGAGATGGGAATGGGTATGGGTTGTGGGTATGGGTTGTTGTGTGAAGAGAAGTGTAGATATTTTGACTGCTGATGTGTGAGTTGTGGAGGTTGAAGAAGGTAAACAAACAGCAAAGGGTGGGTGAATTTCCGAGAGGTAGAGGAATCCAGAGGATAGAGAGATCGTGGGATTCAGATTCAACCCACAGGGCAAGGCTAGGGCTTGAAATGAGGCTATCGTGGGCCACTCACCTCTCGCAATAGTTGCTGAGAGGGCGGGAGCAGCCTCATGGGCTGATGCCCGGCCTGCTCCCGCCTTCTGTGAGGTCATGACCTCACTCACGAGAGTTGCAAAAAGGCGAGAGCAGCCTCGTCTGTTCCCGCCCTTTGCGATGAAAGGCCATAATCTCACAGAAGAGGCGAGAGCAGCCTCATGAACGAGAGCTCTCACCTGTTCCTGCCCTTTGTGAGATCATGACCTTAAACCACAAAGGGTAGGGCAGAGAGCAGCCTCATGAGTGACAGGCTTGTCTGCTCTCACCCCTTTGTGAGGTGTTTGTGACCTCACTCACGATAGTTGCAGGGTGGGCAGGAGCAGCCTTGTCGATGATAGCTTGCTCCCGCCCTTCGTGAGGTGAGGTCATGACCCGACAGGTGATTGCTAGGAGGGCGAGAGCACCCTTGTAAACAAGGGGCTCTGCCTGCTCCTGCAGTATTGTTTGAGCGAGTTATTCGAGCAAATTTTCGAGCAGATTTTTCGAACAAGTTTTTGAAGCAGATTGTTGTAGTGTTGAAGCAAAATATCGAGAGAGCTGTTCAGCAAGTCAGTTGTCAGAATTCTGATTGAAAGAATAGGTATGGGATGCTCTCACCAGCCCACTCATCGTTTCTTGCGCGGTGATGAGATGGGCTGCCCTCATCGCGATTTTGGGACGGCAGCTCTCGTCTGATGTGGGTGAGAACAAGTTGAGAAGGAGTTTGTGCGCTCCAAGTGGAGAGACTTTGTTCACCTGGGGAAATCTGGGCGGCAGGCAGAATACGACGGACGAATACGGCAGGTACAAGTTGAAGACTCCTGCCTCAGGCGATACTCAACCCATCATGAGGGTTGCTCCTGCCTTCCGTCTGATGCATCTACGTTACATGGAGGTGACCAAATATTGCGGTCAAGTTTCACCAGTGAGAGATGAGGCATTGAGGGTTCTAAGACGAAGATGAGCTGTAAGACGAACACGAGCTTTACTCACTTCATCGCTAATATTACCGCTGAAAGAGACAGCAAGACAATGACATCATGAGACTTATGGATTTTTCTCTAAACAAATGAAAGTGCAAGCTGAAGTACAATATTCTTTGTCGAGATAATGGTGATGAAAATGCCTTGCGGAGCATTGGTTCCTGCTCATCCTCCTACACTCTCCCTCCACACCTCTTCCACACAGGCAACTTGAACAGTCTCTTTTTTCTTATGTTTCTTCAGTTATTTCGTCCATCGTCTGTTCCCCCTTCAAAAACTCACTTTGATTTCCTATTTTCTTCTAGCCTCATGGTTTGTGGAATGTGCCCTTTGGAAGATGTAATGGCGATCATACTGAAGAATTGATTCGATATGGAATAGGCTTGCATATTAAATGTGTATATAGTGTGTCCTCAATTATCCAAGTCCAGTCAGTAGAGCTCATGCCTGATTATTGGGGGACTCATCGATGATGATTCTTCATCATCGTTTGGTTCAAGTTAGGTAGCTTAGGTTTCCCAGGTTGCAAACATCGCACTGCTTCCAAGAGGGAAAGATCGACAATGATGAATCTCAGCATTCAAGAACGCATCTAATTGCGGGCTGAGAGGGCAGGGCAATTGAGGTCACGCCAATACTCCTTGAAGAAGGTACTCATCTTCTGCTGAACAGCACACGAAAGATTCTGTAAGCCGGAAGGCCCTTGGCGTCTCCCGTTCTCACCTCAGGGCACTCTTGACCTTATCTTGTCTCTCAGTATCCCGATTCAGGCCCAGGTATGTGCATTAGCAAGACTGAATGCGACATGGCTGAACCTTCCACTCCAGAATCTATGTGAGTTGACACAGGGGCCTGTGAGGTACCTACTTGGATCCTCGCGCAGCTCTAGAGCGCTACTTCCCAGATACTCAAAAGCTTCATCGGGCAAGGACGGTTACCGTCCAATTCGTCTTCGCGATCTTCGCCCAACACAACACCTGCCTGATAAATCTGAGATCTCTGTGGTACCTTAGGCAGGTTGGAAGGTAGAAACTTCCTCCAATAAAGTAGTAGTGGGTGGAAGGAAGACGACGATCGGCGAGGACATAAGGGCATGTCTGCCTCTCCCACGTCTCCTTTCTATTTCCGAGCTGCATCACACCAACACATCATCACCCGCAGGCATAATCACAGCTATTCTTTTCTTGGCACTTCGCTTGAACTATTCAATACCAGACACTCAAGTTCAAACAAAATCTACAGACATGGTCGACGACGGTGTAGTCAGGGTGGTCCGAAACCCGCAAACGCAACAAGCTTCTCGAGGAGAAGCCGTCATAAATGACGACTGCTGGGACTTCGAAAACATGGGAAGCCATCTCCAGGTAACACACATCGATGGGACCGTCCGGAATGTGGACAGGGACGCTCTCGGCACTACCATCTCGTCAGAAAGTGGCAGAATCTGGCTATTGATGTTGGTAAGTAATGCATTCCATCTTGTTGTTGTTATTAAATCTGACTGATACACTCCAGGCCCAATCATTGGCCATCACAGCTGCGTTTCTGGGTTGGGTAGCACCCGGAAACACGAGGTACGTGCTGTGATCATGAACACAATACGGCCTCCCTTGGCTCATACTAATGACAAACAATAGTGTGCTGTTCCATACAGACCTACCTCAGACAGACAAGGTGCATTGGACGCCAATCATGTAGTTCATGGGAAGCTCCATCGGATTTCTCCTCCTCGGTCGACTTTCAGACCTGTACGGACGGAGGCACTTCATTGTCGGAACCTCCCTTCTGGGAGTCGTCGGCTGCCTCCTCGGCTCCTTTGCGGTCAACGCCGAGATGCTCATCGCCGCCAATATCTGCAACGGACTGGCTGCTGCCGCCCAGCTACCTCTTGGAGTTGCTGTAGCCGAACTCGTGCCGAACAAGGACAGAGCAAGAACAGTTGCCGGTACTTTAGTACTGCCATTCATTGTTGCTGGTTTGGGCTCTGCCATAATCCCATCATTGTTGGACGATGGCAGCCCGGTGCAATGGCGTTGGGGCTATTACACGGGAGCCTTTCTGGCTTTCGTCTCCTTTCTCTTGTATCTGGGACTCTATCGCCCACCTTCGTTCTAGCAGCTCAATGTGGCTGGGAAGACCAAGCTTGAGATGATCAAGCATTTGGACTTTGTCGGTATCTTCCTTTACGTCTCTGGCTGCGTTTTGTTGCCACTCGGGTTCTGTTTGGGAATCTCCTCGTACCCTTCTGTCGGCAAAGAGGTCATTGGAACCCTAGTCGGTGGTTTCTCAGCGCTTGTCTTGTTTGTAATATACGGTAAGGTTGGATCGCATTCGAATATTCTGACATATCTTCTAACGTATCGCAGAAGCATTTTCCACCACCGAACAGCCTCTCATGCCTCCAAAGATGTTCAAGAATGTCCAGTTCGCAAGTCTCGTTGCTTGTGCAACTTTCTCCTCGATGGTTTTTTATGCCCTCACCGTCCTCTGGCCATTTGTTATCGGAAAGGTTTTCAACAAGGACTCGGACACGGTTGCTTGGTCTGCCTCATTGCTACCCTTTGGTGCCACACTCGGAATAGCCTCGACAGCTGTTCCGTCACTACGTGGTGAACGCTTCAGAAAACAGTGTATGGTAGCGTCAGGTGTCGCTCTGGCTCTCATAGCTCCATTATGCACTATATGGTTTGACATCCGCCATGGACTAATTGTTCTGGCGGGCATATGTGCGTCTTTTGGTAAGTCTTGCGGCGATCCCCAGGTGTTGCCCGAGAGTTTTTGACTGATACATACGTCTTAGCTCTTGGCCACATTGTTGCCGTTGCCATCACTGGTGTCACCCTTGTGTGGGAACCGCAAGATATCGGCCTCGCATCAGGAGTCCTCGGCTCAATGTGTAGCTTGGGCTGTGCCTTCGCAAGGGCATTAGTTACCTTGTTATTGAGGAAAAAGCTGGAGGAGGAGCTGACCAAGTCCGTCACGCCAGTTGTCTTGGACGCTATCCTGCCCGGCCCCATTTTGAAACAACTGGCCACCACCATCCGAGAGCAAGCAACAATGAACGGGAAAACCAACTTGACGGCGTTCACATCAGTGAGCATACTCTCCAGGTTTGCAATTACCAACGCAATTCAAGCCGGATACAGTTATTCACTTCGATCGATCTTCCTTGCCATCATCCCTTTCTCCGCTATTCTCCTGATCGCCGCTTGCTTCGTTCCAAATCTGGACCAGTTCAATACTCTGAAAGTTGCAAGAAGATTGCAAGGCCCTGATGGAAACGCCCCACAGAATGATGAAGAAGCGGCCGAAGAACCAGGACTTGAGTTGTCGATGCTTGGTCGGCCTGTGTCAGCCGCAGATGTGATTTGATCTGTCTCAAGTGTTTTTTTGTTGACGGCAGCTTAGTAGGATGCTGGGTCATTGGGGGTTGGGTCACATCGGAATGTTTTCGACCAGCATTGCTTTAGTGTTAGAGGAGGAAAGACAATAAACGCATGGACTGTTTCCGCAAAAGGCGTTTTCTAGATCCACTCATGAGTTGTTTCGCGAATTCCAGGCGGCACAAAGGGTTCAGGTACGGGAGAGCGTAGTAATTCGACGGAATCCGGGGATTGCCTCATATCGAACGACCGGGATGGTGACAGACGATGATAACAGCTGTTGCGAGACCAATGAGACCAGGTTCTTATTCACCGGATGCTGAATTCAATGTTCGTCAGATCCCGGCCGGTCTTTGGATTGACGATCATTGGATCGTTGGCTAAGGTGGTGGGGTGTGGAGACTGAAGTTTGTCAATGGAAGTGGGAAATGTCTTGTCCATCGACAGCCAAAGCTCCGATGGCGGGGCATGGCGGGGTGCAACCGACGTCGGTCGCTCACCCCAAAAATTATTGGGCCGGGGCGCCGCCGGCGACATGCCACTCTCCCCTTGACTCACATTGCCAACCCGCCCAATTTCTCTATTTATCTCCAAACTGTGGCCCTCGCTGATTCAGTCCAATTCCTCCTTTTCGACAATTGATACCCTCGATACCCCCTCGTCATCTTTCACAATGGGCGAATTCCCCGTCAAGAAGTGCGGTACGTTTTAGCCCCTCCACCCCGCCATTGCCGCCCTTCCGCCATCGGGAAACCTCGATATCGGCAGATTGCAAACTTTGGCGCCTTTCAAGATGTATCCAACAATCCAAAGCTAATTCAGAGTCCACCTCAAGGCGTTCTCGGCTGCACCGGCTCCGTCGGCCAGCGCTTCATCCTGCTTCTGTCGCAGCACCCGTACCTTAAGCTCGTCGCTGTCGGCGCCTCGTCCCGCTCCGCCGGCAAGAAATACCGCGATGCCGTGAGGTGGAAGCAGGCCTCGCCCATGGGCGCCGTCGCCGACCTCGTCGTCCGCGAGTGCAAGGCCTCTGAGTTCAGCGACTGCGACGTCATCTTCAGCGGTCTCGACTCTGACGTTGCCGGCCAGATTGGTGAGTATCCCCAAGTGCTGCTATTCCAACGCCTGCGAAGGAAGGACTGCACTCGCCTAGATTGAGAAACAATGGCTAACCACCACGGCCAAAACAGAGATGGAATTCCTCAAGGCCAACCTCGCCGTCTTCTCCAACGCAAAGAACTACCGCCGCGACCCTCTCGTGCCCCTCGTCGTCCCCACCGTCAACCTCCCCCATCTCGACCTGATCCCCCACCAGCGCAAGCAGCACAACCTCGAAAAGGGCTTCCTCGTCTGCAACTCCAACTGCGCCGTCATCGGCCTCGTCATTCCCTTCGCGGCCCTGCAAGCCGTCTTCGGCCCCGTCGACCAGGTCTCCGTCGTCACCATGCAGGCCGTCTCGGGCGCCGGCTACCCGGGCGTCTCGTCCATGGACATGATTGACAACGTCGTCCCCTTCATCTCGGGCGAGGAGGACAAGCTGGAGACGGAGGCGCAAAAGATCCTCGGCACCATCACCTCGGACCTCACCGCGTTCGAGGACCAGAGCCAGCTCAAGGTCAGCGCGGCGTGCAACCGCGTGCCCGTGCTCGACGGCCACACAGCCTGCGTCTCGCTCAAGTTTGCGCGCCGCCCCGCGCCCTCGGCCGAGGAGGTCAAGAAGGCGCTGCGCGAGTACGTCTCTGAGGCGCAGAAGCTTGGGTGCCCTTCCGCGCCCGAGAGCCCTATCCTCGTGCACGACGAGCCTGACCGGCCGCAGCCGAGACTCGATCGCGACCTCGGTAGGGGGTACACCGTCAGCGTTGGCCGTGTTCGGGAGGATGAGAGCGGAATCTTTGATATCAAGTTTGTTGCGCTGAGCCACAACACTGTCATTGGCGCTGCTGGCTCGTCGATCCTCAATGCTGAGGCTGCTGTGCTCAAGGGCTTCGTTTAAGCATCTTTGAGATGGAGAGGAAACGAACAAGTGGAAACGAATAAGATTTGAGGATGGCCGGGTATTTATCATGAGGGATCACAAAAATATTGGTGTATGGGTGCACGGTTGGTCGCATTTACGGCATGGAAATATCACAATTAAAACAGCATGAGGGAGAATCTGGACGTACGGTAGATGAAAAGTAGGCCTACCGATTGCGATAGATTTCCCGCTTTAGAATGTCTTGAGGCCTTACCTGAGTGCGAAATGAGAGTGACGGGCGTTTGAGTGACAGTTTTGTCGGCAGTCACTACTGGCGTATTCTATGCTGGAAACGGGATCCTACCTGAGGTACCTTAGGTAGGTTTCTCTGGTTTGAGAGGCTGCCTCGTTGAGTGGAAGGCGTATGCATACTACTGCCGCTGCAGTCAGTAAATCCTACACGGAGGTGAACCCGGGCAGGCATGCTGCATCTCGAACCAGCCTTCGATCGCTTGGTAGGGCTAATTAAAGATCAGGCTGCGTCGAAGAAAGACCTTCCCTGTGTCTGCAATTCTATCATAGGTCTTTTATCTCCCATCTCGCCTTGGCTCATGTTCTTCTATTCCAACATGCTCTTCTGCGTTTTCTCCGATCAACGTCGCCGATAACCATCACGATGGGTAGACCCAAGTTCTCCCAAAGTTGATGGCGATAAGCTGCTGCGTTTTACTTCGCCGTGGCAGCCTTCTCAACTTTTTTCATCAACTTTGTATTCACACCATGGGCGAGCATCCAGAAACGTGACACGATAAGTGACGGTGTCAGGATTATGCTTGATACGGACTGTTCAACCATCCGAATACTAAAATCGGGATCCATATTCTGATCAACGTCCTTGGTATAATTCTTCTTGCGGGTAGTAACTACTGTATGCAAGGCTTAATGGCACCAACCCGACCAGAGCCCTTACTGATCAACAATCAGATACAACTCCATCATCTTCAGCTCGACATCAGTGAACGACTACAGCGTCTTGAATACGAATGCATACATTTCAAAGAACAAGACCGAAGGCGCACTCGACAGTGCCGACTGGAAGAGCATGTACTTAAATTTTCTTGGCGATAACGTCGAGAAAATGGACGCAACACGATGCATCGACGCCCACCGAGTCGCTTTCCTGTCCTCACGAGGAAACTTACTCCTTGTATCTGATGATAAGAAGGAAGAAAATCGTACGGCTGAGGTCTTCGATATTTCGGGATACCCATATCTTTGGATGTGCGGCCAATCAGGTGAAAGAATCGCCGGCATACTCGCTGGTAACTCGACATGCGAGGACTATCTGGTCGAATTGCGAACTACGTCGGGAGGCTGGAAGCCTCTGGGATCAAGCGTCAAGGAATGTTACAGCCAAAAGACTGAATAGCATTGCAAGCTCCTCTTCAGCAGCACTCTCTGCTGGACTATGACAGCGTTTAACGTTGCCAAAGGCGTCTTGATGCTCTTCGTCGCCTTCGGAATGGGCGAAGAAGATCCTCTGATGACCATTGGAGATGCAGTGACCTCTTTCCTTGAAGATCAGGATGAGTCGACTGCGGATATGTGCCTCAAGTCCAAGGACCACTTTGTTGCCCAACATTGGTCCAAAGGTCCAATACAATATGATCTCAAACCGCAACGGAAGTCTGTCGCCATTGGCACAGCGGCTTGGTTTCTTTGCTTCTTGTTGTATGCTTGTGTTTCCCTCCTTTCGTTATATCTACATGCTGACAACGCCACCAGGTACTTTGGACTCATCATCGCCTGTGCAAGTTTGCTGGTTGGAGGCCTGAATCACATGTTAGGTGGCGGCGATATCACAAAGCTTGGTCTCGGCGCCATGCAGGCCAAGACCATCCTGAACACGGATGACATGAGTCAAGGATCTATACTTGCTAATCTTCTGCTTGTCAACACGCCTCAAATTATTCTGTCACTCATTTACTCCACTTACAATGCCCAGTACACCAGTATATCCTTGATTACTGAATGGGACAGATTTGGCAACGAGAAGGAGGCAAAGAGTCTTCGCGTCTCGTCTACACGCAGAGGAGCTCAGCGAGATACCTACTTCCTTCAACTGCCGTACCGCTACTCGTTCCCTCTTGTAATATTTTCAGGGGGGACTTCACTGGCTCATTTCTCAGAGCTTCTTCCTCGTCAACCTGGAGGTATATGTCCCTCCAGCTGATGGCAGGCCTATGGTACGACTAGTAGAGGGGAACTCGTTTGCCGGTGTGAGAGCCTGCGGGTGGTCGCCACTCGGGGTTTTTTGTGTTCTGGTGGTAATTATCTTCATGATGGGAATTCTCATTGTCACGGAGAGACGTCGTTTGCGATTCGGGGTCATGCCCGTGGCGGGCAGCTGCAGCGCGGCCATCTCTGCTGCTTGTCACCCTGGCTCAGACGAAGGAAAGATGTGGGAGAAGACTCTGAGATGGGGCGTAGTGGACTCATCTACCGTCGGGCCCTGTTCTTTTTCTTCTGAGCCAGTCTCGGTCCCGGTTTGTGGTCGTTTGTACTCGTGAGTCGGTACTCTGTCTATTGATTACTTGGGACGGCTTGAGGAACGAGAGCTTCTAGTTTAGAAGCTCACGAGCCGTGGACGATGTCATGGGAAAAAAAGTCAACGGGGTCCAAGATATATCGTCGGGATCGTCGACTGGCTTCGTTGCCTTTGTGAGACAACCTATGTTGCGAGTCTCTGCTAGAAGGACGCGAAGGTTCCTCAGGGGTCATACCCAATTCATATATACTGTCCTGCCTCAAGCGTTAATGTCAACAAGGCTTGGTCGTGCTCATATCTTTGTACCTCTATCAGATCTACCGTACTTCTCATTGTGACATGGCGAAGTAAGATACGTTCTCAAGAGTCGAGATTTCCCAGGCATGCCAGGTCAGATAGAGTGGTACAACCAACGGATGTACACATGATGGACGTATGGCGCATTATTAGAGCAAGAGAGAATTTCATACAAGCAAGCCGCGATTGTACAAGAGACAGGATGTAAACGGGCATGGCAAACATCTACTTAGTTATCATTTGGGCTAAGTCTTCTCGTACTGGGACGTAGTGAAGCCAAAATTAATAGAGAGATTTGTCTTTACTCGGCAGTGAATCTATGGGCGCAAGACTTGTGCCTCGAGGTATAAAGAAGCTGACAGGCAGATTGAATGTTACAAGAGATTGTAGATAGTGGTGGTAATGTTTCTTGTCATCCATCTATTGTTTTCTACGGCCACTCAATATCTTTTGCCAGCATGTCGAGGCTTTTATCGTCAACAAATCTGATATCAGGATACAGCTCCCGAAGAGACGCCCACATCGTGGATATGTCTCTCGGCGGAGGCACTGGCGGGCTCTTCCTCCCCCCGATTCTGCCTATTCTCCCGATCCTTCTGCTCCTGGTACTCGTCCAGCCTGTTCATGCACCTCTCCCTGTCATACCGTTTCGTGAAAACGCCCTCCTCGCGGTATATCTGCGCGTGCGGTGTGTCCCGGGTGGTATAATATATTTGTTTTCTATTCATGGCAGTCTGTGATTTTAATGAGCATCAAGAAGTAATGGTAGCGTTTGAATCATGGGGATTGCGCATGCCATCTCAAACTTTTTGATTTTTTCCTTGGCCATGGCGAAAAACTCGTGAACTGTGTAGGTTTGAAATCTGCGCCAGGCTTCTCCGTCCGGTGCTTGCTGTATTACGCAAGATTAGGAGCGTATTCAGACATGGAAAAGCTTGAATAAGTCAGCATCTCCGGAAGACTTACAGGATCCGATAACCTGGTCGGCTTCGGACCAGTCTGGGGATCCGCAAGAACAATCGTGCCGCGCTCCGTGTCGATGAGGATATAATGACCGTCGCGGCCGGACGGTATGGTCGCGTAAACAAACACATGGGGCGGAAGGGGTGCGGTCGAGATATTAGCTTCGTAAGGCTCGAAGAGCCACTCGTCGGCGTACTTGGTGGGCAGGCCCAGGACGACGTCGCCGGTGAAATCGACAGCGGTGGCGCCCTCGTTGACCATCCACGGATCCCAGTGGTCCTCCTTGGTACGGCTGACGTAGGGGATATGCCTCACCAGGTCCGCCACGGTATCGTTCTTGCCGAGGCAGAAAGATTTGACGAACTCGGGCGTGATGTGCTCCCAGCCGCCCTCGGGAGGGTGTTGGACGACCTCTGGCGGTAGGAAGAGCCGCGTGAGAAATTCATAGTGCGATGTGAGCTCCGAGACGAGCTCGTTCCTCGAGTAGGAAGGTTCTGCCATTCGGAGGGAGCGAGGAGAATATCTTTGTGCCGAGAGATGAACCAACAAAGGAGCTCTTCACTGGGGAGGGAACGGGGGTCCATACTTATACTAGGCACCAACGTGGGTGCATGCGGGGCCGAGTTCACCTCAGGAACTTGTTGCCAAGCTTTGTTAGACGAGACACATGAAGAGAAATTCCTTCGCCTGCTCCTTCATTGAGAGAGCTTATCTTGTTGCCCGTTGGTGGACAGCTGGTTCGATCAGTTCCCGCGTCTCAAAACAGTGGCATCGGCAATGGCCAGATCTGTTCCACAGGTGAGGATGAACCAGAAGCTGGTGGACCCCAATTCTCGACCATCACAAGGCATTCAAGGTCTTAGGGAGGCACTACGAGGCCGGCTACGCCCGGCTCGTGATGTCGCGGGCATTTCGACTGGGATCGCCGCCTTACGGAGAATCTCTAGGATAGAGTGAAGATGATGGAGTGCGGGGATCCCTCCTGTAGCAGAGAGGCTACTGCTTTTGGCGGAAGCGGCATGGCTATTACACTTGCTTCTGGTTTTATGGCTCTCCAGTTGGCCTTCGTAGATGCTTAACACAATGTTCCTCTTCATGTAGAAGACGAGTGGTGTGTAATACCAAGGAAGTGTGAATCAAAAAGAAGCGTGAACTGGTCTACGGAGGAACAACCATATTCAAAAATTATGTAGACTTCTCTACCCCCATTTCAGAGAAAAACAATTCCACTTAGTGTCTAGCGAGGTTTCTTTCCATTTACCCTGATTCATAACCTGCTGATGCCCCTCGGTGCGTGATCGAAGACTCGGAGGGGTACGGGATGGCCAGAGTTGCTTTTCAGACACTGCCAGTTCGTCCATCCCATTGAATTCATATGCCTCCTAGCTGGGAGCTCTGAAACCCATTCAAGGTAGGTAATTTCGCAACCGCAGTCATGGCAGGAAAGAGGTTGTGGGGAGCCTCTCGCAGTCTTTCCCGCCTCAATTAGGATGCCGTAGTTAAAGCAACGGAATCCTTCAAGTGTTTGGTGACAATGAACACCCCTGATGGAGGGTAGATCGTCGCGTTCGGTTCTGGGGTATCTTCTCTGGGTGCCGTTTCTGTGTAGTTTCTGGCAGTCGAATGAGGCAACGTGGCATCGACTTGACTTTGAATACTCAACAGTTCCAAGACACGATGTGGCAAAGTGTAGCAAACACTAAGCCTATGCGCAATCTATCAGAAAGACATGGCTTTTGAAGGAGTCAGTGAATCAATAGAGTATTATGATAGGCACAATCTATGCTTCAACAGATATGCATCTTACCCGACCCCGATTCACGAAATCAAAGGGTTACCATCTAGCAACGAACTAAAACACACTGGTATCAAAAAGCAAGTAGATCATCGGACTTAGCTCTACCATTGGTATGCTTATGCCTCGAGGTAGCTGTCTCGTCGCATTACCCTGGCCACTTTGGCACTATCAATAACAACTGTAACACTGATAATCATCAGCGTCGAATCGAACATGAAGCTGAAATCCCCGATTGAAAGAAGCCTTTAGACCTCCGAGGTTCGGAGAGTCTACTCTCCGTTGACCGATATGAACCCGCAAACAACAAAATGCGATCAAACAAGGCCATGGCAAATGCCATGGCAAATGCCATGGGATGGATGCTGAAGTTGGGTAGGTGCCTCGGCTCGGTAAGATGAGACGAAAAGTAATAACAATACCCAACCTCCCTCTGCTTCCTCGAACTCGCACACGCAGCACAACGGTGTCGGCCGAGTCAAGGTTTCCCTCGGAGCCTCGCCCAAACCGAGATGAACCCCTGCAACAAAGCAAACGAAACCTCGCCACACACGTTTCCTCGCGTGTTATGTTTTTCCATCCGGTACGTAAAGTTAAGGTTTGTAACCTTGAGCCTAGAGTAGAGGAGTAAAGAAGAATCAGTCGGTTTAGTCTAATGGGATGTTTATCGTGTGTATTGGATAGGTCCCCTGGGCCCTTTGGACTACGGCGACTAGTTCAAACCTAATACTGACTGTCTAAATCTTGGAAGAGATGAGTAAAAAGGACGAAATAAAAAACCAAGGACAAAAATCCTAACGGAAACCGACAACGGGATTTTCAAACATGATCATGAGGCGGTTGCGAGACTGCCACATGAACACTTTTAAGCTTCGCAAACGTGCCAAGTCACCCGTTGAGTAAGGGAAAAAAGCCTCGCAAGAAGCCCTCCCGTGGCGCAGCCCATAGACGTCCCTTCGCAGGCACCTCGAACCTTTGCTTCCCCTTTCCAAACGAGTAGTACCCTGAAGAAAGAGAGGCAGAGATGGAGAATGCGAGGAGGGGTGTGGAGAAGATGGGCCGAGTGGGAACTGGACAGTTGAGACGAACTCTGTTGAGGTCTCGTGCGCAAGGGCTCCCTTACCTTCCGTACTTGGCTAGGTGTGGCTTGGTTCTCTAAGCCGAGGAAACGTATAACATCGTGACTTTACTTTCGGTGTAGGGAAGAACAGCAGATAAATGAAGCGGCAACACCGGCCTGGTGGTTTTGCTGAAGCCATGGAACTCATTTACTAAGACCCGTGATGAGCTGGGGCGTCATATCAGAGGGATCAAGAAAAGCGAGACGGTAAATCATAAGCCGCGGCAGAATCCAACGCAGCAGACGACATCCATATACGTTCGCCTGTGAAAGGCCACGAATGATTCTCCATCAAGCGCCAAGCCGGGCCGCACAGATTGACTGTATCTAGGACGGGTTGCGAACTGAACAGTGTTTGGTGCCGGTCACGACTTTCCTCACAAAGTCGCGAGCTGCCAAAACACCAAACAATGGCACGCCGGGATAGCGCTGTTAATCATACGTTTGCATACTAAATCGATGCTCGGCGAACTGCAGAAGCTTCTCAAGGGAGCACACCAGCGTTCTCGTCTGTTGATAGTTAGTTGCTTGTTGTGCTGCGTAAGTGGTGCAAAGCTCCAGAGCTTGGTCCTAGTCGGGGAGAAATATGTCCTGGGCCGCGCGGGAGATTTCGCCTATATGAAGGGATATAGAGAAACACTCAAGATGGAAACCTGCAAGTGAAACAACCATGCGATGCAGGAGCAAGACCGCGGGAAGGGCGCTGGTTGGCAGCACAATCCGGATAGGTGCAGAGCGAGACGCGAGAAGTCGCGGGGAGCTATATATGGCCGCCTGCTTCCCCCCTCGTCTCTCGGCCTAAAGTCTGTTTTACGTTTCAAAGAAGAAGATCGGAAATGCGGATGGACGTCGGCGGCCGGTGCGTGACATGGGACGACGTTATGCGTGTGCCGTTTGTCGTCGCGGCCGAAGCACGGACTGATCCCGGCAGCCAGTTTCGGGGGTGAGAGGGGTGTCATGTGCGGGGGAGTCGGCGAGCTTCTTCTGCAGTTCTCGGCCCAAGCCGGTGCGTGCATGTTTACAGCCTGCGGCCCGATGACGTTTCCCCCTTCTCCGTCTTTGTTATTTGATATGCAGTGCCCGCTTGACGCTGAGGCTATGTTGTATCGTCGACTGCAGCTCAATCAAAGGCGAAACATCTTCTCTGTGGGTTTTCAATGGTGCGGATCTATGCAAGAGATAGACACAGCCAGAAAGGGTCGAGACATGCAAAAACCCGACGCAGCTCCCGAAAGTCAAAAAGAAATGTGTATCTCAATAAAATAGTAGATGCCAAGTTGAGAGGACCAGGGAGAGGCGAGTGCTTGTTCAATCAGGTTCAGGGGTTCAGCTTTCAGCGTCGTAGTTTCTTGATGTGAGGCTCATCAGACGAGAGCATACTGCTTGCGACGTAGCAAGACAGATCCGACGCGTCAGCATCGAAAAGCTCATGGGTAAAGAACAAGCAATGCTACCAGAAGAACTTGAAATAAGCTGGGACGGGGGCTGCCAGCCCAACTAGGCGTCCGTGTGAAACACACATTCGGGATCCGGGGGAGATGGGACGAAGAGAGGATTGACCTGAACGGACGGACACACAGGGGTTGCAAAGCACTGATGTTCAGGTGTCAAGAGCGAGGCGTCGGCCGTTTGGTTCGCGGGGTCTGGGTCGCGAGGTAAATTTGGAAGCAGACGGTCTGAAGAAGCAAACGGCGGCGTGAAGAGGCGCCGCTGGGCGTTCTGAGACCCGGAAGAGCCCACGGACACGGAGGCGAGGGAGGGCCAGGCAAGCTCCGGACGCCAACCACCATCAGCCAAGATGGGCTGAATCGGGAGGAGGCGAGCGACAGCGATTGCTGAGATAGCGGGCGGCCCGACAGTCTTGGCCAAGTCCAGACCGGGATTCTGTTTGTCCTAGGTCACAAAGGGCAGAGGACGATAGTCCACGAGGCTGAACAGAGTGTAACGGATGGCGGAGATGAAATCGATAGACAAGGCGAGCGATGACCAAACGCGTTAGGTTGGTCAAGCCAGGCGGAGAGGCACGAGGGCCCAGCCTTTAGAGCGCAACGACCTTCAACTGCCGGGTTTTTGGGGCTGTCGACAAAGCTCAAAGAAATTGTATCTCTGTAGAGCCGCAAACGGTGGTATCGACGACTTGGTCCAGGTCAATAGTCACGAGTTTTCCAACGAGGAGGCAAAGTGGCCAGGAAGCATGGTGGTAATTAGGCGATCAGGCGCGTCAGTGCAGACGCAAAAGCAATGCGCCGGGTTTGGAAGGGCGACGGGCGGCGGCAGTCAAGTTTGCGGAGCGATTGAGATTCCGGCGTGCAGCTGACAATTGAACATTGCCAGGGTCCTGGGGCCGGACCCCCCGGTCTGCATAGTCCAGAACATGGCTTTGCCGCGGCGGCGGTGTTAGTGAAGGGTATCCGTACTCTGTACCGGAAGCTTGGAAGGAACACCAATTCGTCTGTTGATGGTAGCACTCGGATTGGATTGTGTAGAGTTGGATAATGACCAGGCCATTCGGTAGATGCCGCCGCACAAGCATGAAGATGGGCGCAGGCATTGTGAAGCTGAAGCACACCGCAGTCCCTTCAGCATGCTTCAGACTTCAGACTTTGAGGGTTGAAGTGGGCACGGGGTGACAGGGTGAAGTGGCACAGTGGTAGTCGGGTCCAAGGGATTGAGATGCCAGGAGCCCGGGCTTGGTGCTACCGGGGCTCTCATACCGATGCCGATGCAAATGCAAGTGCAGATATGCGAGAGCGGATGCAATTCGAGCCCCTGATGCGGTCAAGAACTGACTTAGGGGGTGGCTCTTGTTGACTCGTTGTCTTTGATTCGGAGGTATGAAGTAGGAAAATCAAATCGACATAGGGGAGTCGTAGAACTAAGAATAGGACTAGATGATGACGGGATGTGCAATGGTCTTTGCTGATCGTTCGTGACCTGAAACTAGCTGGGCCAATGTTGCAGCATTTCTTAGGCGACAGAATATGCGAGAGTAGGAAATATAGACGGAATATGGGGAGGCTGTTGATCGTGCGATACTCGTATCGATTGCATAGACCGTACGTAAGGTAGTCTGTATCCGTATCCTCGGAGGCTCAACGATAGATCTCAGGTATCAGGGATGCTTACCTAGTGTAGTTAGGGGCGAGCCGATACAGAGAAATAGTGCCAAAATGCGACTAATCAGCTTTGGAGGGTATTTTAGTGTAGACCGGGGTCTCGTAAGGGATGGAGATACGGATAGACGACATTCGTAAAATATGAGTTGAGATCAGCGGACACGATGTTGGCTGGGGTGACCCGTGTCGTGTTCCAACTTGTACAGGAGCAAGGCGTGCGCGTCAGGTTCGGGGTCCGTTTGAACGGGCTGTGCCTAGTGCGGCGTACCGAAGTAATAAAGCGAGGATTCAATTCGGTGGGGCCAACGTTTGCATGTGCAGGCGAGCGGCAGGTAAATGCAAAAGGGTAGGGAGTTGAAGAACCTTGAGGCTGTTGAGCCCTGGGTTCTGGGTGGAGGGACTCTGGGAGACGGCGGGAGGATCAGGTTCACCTTTTCTTTGAGTCTTGGCTCTCGCGATTCTGGAAACTCTGGGTCTCTGTGGTCCGCGGAAACGAAATGGAAAGGAACGTGGGATCCTTACCTACTGGGAGGGAGGGATTCTGGCGGCTGACTAAGACACATAAGATGGACAATCGACAATCCATGCATAAACACCGGGAAAGAGTAGCCGTATAAACGACAGGCGTTCATAACTTTGACCACTTGAAGATACCTGCCCAGCTGAGACCAGCCCAGCGTCCGTGCTCTTTCCCTTTTTTTGCCTTCTTTCTTGTCTCTGCTCTTCGCTGCTGCCAAAAGCTGCAGCCACTCGGCACAGCGGGAAGACGAAGAGGAAGTACCTAGAAGTGAGGCAGGTACCTTTGGGAACGAAAAACCACGTGCTAGGGGAAACCACGTGCTACAACAATCATTGAACTCAAGTGGTGGGAGGTACCTAGGTAATGAAAGTGCCTACCAAGGTTCCCATCACTCCCGTCGTTTGCATAAGGCGGGCAGCGAGAGAGGGAGCGAAGGGGAATGCGCTGAGGAATTTGGCCGAATTGAAGTAAACCCGAGGTGAATTAAATTGGATTACTTGCGGGAGGAACTTGAGACGTTTTCATCTCATTGCCATAACTCACTACCACAGACTCGCTGATTGGTAGACTTGCTTTCTGTTTTCTCAAATTAGGAGTTGTTTTTTCCTGGGTGTTTGGTTTAGAGGGGGAACAAAAAGCCAGTCTCGCACTCGCACACAACGCCATTTGAAATCGTCTTCCGATTCATGCGCGCGCCCGCGCCTTAAATCGCTTTTTGATCGTCGCATGCCGTGTAGTAGATCCAATAGTCAGTGACGAGTGTGTGATCTAGCTCAGCTCGCATCGCATCGGTACGAACTACCTTGCTGCGTAAGTGTTGGACGTGCGGGCCTGTCGGCAGCAGCGCCGATGGAAATCAGGGACTAGAGGTGTAATGACGGAGCTGGGTGGTTTTTTTTTAATTGAGTTGTGGCTGTGACGGGATTGAGAGAGCTTGGCCCGTGGGAGAAAGCGCGCAAAGGGGGCGAAAGCGAATCACTACTTTGAAAAGGTGGTCGTCATCTCCAGCGGCCAAGGTCTGTCTGCCCACATTGGCAACTGACCGGCCCCCGGTGCAAGACGTGCGAAAAAGATGCGAGAATCGTGAGTGTCATGTCCAAGGCTAGCTAACGGCCAAAAAAGCAAGGTCCACAATGACAGTTGAATGGCGAACTTGTCTTGAACATTGTGACCAGGTGCTCCCGACCAAACCGATGGCCCCAGTTCCCCACCGCGAGATCATTTGCAGCTTTCTGTCTTGCCTTAGCGTCTTCTGTACCGAAAGACCGACCGACCGACCGACAGCCCCGGTGTTGAACACGCGACGGGATGGAATGGGATGGGACGGGAAGACATGTGCAGCTGTACGAAGTGTGGAAGTGGTATTCAATCGTGTCCATCATGTCAATCGCTTCTGTCTCGTTGTCGTCACGTCGTCACACTCGGCTAGCTCACCTGCCACCAGGCCGCTACCTCATGGCCGACCTCCTAACCCCTGCTCGTGCACAACTTGCTTATGTCTACCGAGTACGGAGTATTAGTGTGGTGTATCAATGACGGATGGCTGGTGAGGGGAACATCTGGAGCTGAGTAAGATCAATACTATCAAGGCACCTACGTGAAGGAGCTTGAGACAAAATGCAGTTTGGGCTGCACGACAGGGCAAACACTGCAAACCTTTAGCTTACATACTTGTCAAAACAACATGAGTAAACGACATGACCGCATTTGAGAATAACCGCTGTAATGAAAGCTGAGGTGAGTGAGCATCGAGACTGCAGGTACTTTAACCTAGAACCCTTTCGGGCCCGTCCCAGTCCCAGCGATTGCACCGCCCCCACCCCTGCTCTTGCGCAGACCCACACCCTCCTTGCTATTCGATGCATCCACAACCACGATCCCACGCCTGTCCAGTCCGGTCCCGCCCCGCCCGGTCCAGTCCCAAGGAGGCACTGGGAAGGCGCTGGAGGTTCTTTCTCTCTCTCTCTCTCTTGCCCGTCGTGCCCGTCTCCCGTCTTGTGGCAGGACCGACTGACGCTGCTGGCCAGTGCCTGCCTGCCTGTCCGGGTGAAGTCTGGTCTGCGCTCCGCACCTGCCACCCACAATAGAAGTTGGCAAGCGCAAGTTCGACATCTGGTCCCTGTCGCGCGCTGCTCACCACCGTCCACGCCGTGCTCCTCACGCTCGACCCGTCCAATACCACCCATGTCACCCGCCCAGTTCCAGTCCTGGTCCCTGTCACTGGTCATGGCCTCTCGGGTCCCCAGTCTTTCTCTCATCCTATTCTCTCTCGCTGGCTGGTGCTCTTTTCACTTTGCCGCCGCCGCCTGGGCTCTTTTGCTCTGCCACCACTGCTACCTTACCACCTTACTTCCCGCCTGCTTATTCGGCTCCTGCCAACCACGCCGAAAACACTCAAAGTCCAAGGCTGCTCCGCTGCTCGGCTTCGACCTGTCACCTCGCCTCTTCTTCTCCTCTTCCTTCCTATTCCTAACTATCCCAACAACCCCCTCACCTTTCCTACTACTTACTACAACCTACAGTGACCCGCCTCGTCCGCCAATCTCTCACGATCACGAACTGCCTCACCGACCACGCCTAATCCCGACCCATCCTCACATAGATACACACCCACACGCCATCTTTGCACATAACCAGAGAGGAGAATCCGCATCTCAACCTCCATAGCTCGCACCGCCATGGTCTCTTGCGATATCTAAAGGCCAACGCCCCCATTCCGGCCCTTCCACTTCGGCCCCAGTTTGATTGCTAGCACCAATCAATCGGCATTGGCTACCGTGCATTCCGCCTGCCAGTCGCTTGCTGCTTGTCATACGCCTCGCGCCTGCTGTTAGACCCATCTCATCTAAGGTGGTGCCAGCTCTTGCCAACGCATTGTCTCACCATCCAACAACCCCAATTACCCAAGTACATACTTGGTAGCTTCTGTCTCTCGTCCCAAGCGGGCTGGCAAATTCAGAGGGAATGGATTCGTATGTCTCTCATCCTTCAATAACCGGGCCATGCCTCTCGTGTTCTTTCTCTTGTCTCTGCCCGGTCAGCTCGAGAAAGTCGCGATCAGCACCGGCTTGCACTTTGCACTCAGCGCCGTCAAATGGCTGTAACTAATCTTGTGTGGCACAGCTTTATCGCCGTCGCTGGCTGGGCACAACATACCAGCCCTCAACCCGGTGGAAGACCTTTTGGCCATTTTCGATCTCTCTCTTCAATAGCTCGATCTCCGTCACCAAGCCCCCGAGCCACGAAAACGACGAGTCAAGCACCTTCCGTTGTCGACATGCCCATCATGTCTTCCTCAGTAGCATCCTCGCCGACACTTCGACCCACGACAACAGTGACACCTCCAGACGATGACGGCGAGCTGAGTACGCTACCTGACCCCCGCAGCCGGGCTATGAGTCCCGCTAGTGAAGCCGATGCTGCTCAGCATCCCGAGCTGAATGACGAAGTCGCAACCCTGAGCGCCAAATTAATAAACGCCATCAACCACCAGACAACCCTCGACGACACATTATCCGCCACAAGACAAGAGTTGGAAAGAGCACGCGAGAAAATCAAGCATTTAGAAGAACAGAACGAATCTCAAAGAGAGATGCTTGCGGGCGATATTTGGATTCGTCGCAAGACCGCAGAGGAAGAAAAGAAGACCATCATGCTCCGTGTGAACCAAGAGAAGAAACTCCGAGAGGACGCTGAGAAGGAGCAAAAGAGGATTGAACAAGAGTTGGAGAGTCTTTCCACGGCTTTGTTCGAGGAGGCCAACAACATGGTCATTACTGCGAAAGAGGAGGCGAGGGTGGAGCAGGAGGCCATCCAACGAAAGAACGACAATCTGAGATCTCAGCTTGGCGATATGGAGGCCTTGCTGACCTCTCAACAACAGCAACTAGCAGACCTAAAGCACGTCATGGAGCAGATGATGCTCGAAAGAGATGATGCTACAACCGGCACAGCTCCCTCCTCTCCCGGCTTTAGTAAACCCGATATCACGAAAGATGATGATCGCTCAGAAGGCCTCGTCGCTTCGCCTCTCTTGGATCCGTCTTCGCCGACGTACCCTACTAGCTTGACGCATCTCATTCAGCCAGTTCTTAGGACTGATCTGGGAGCTTACGAGGACTTTCTTAGCCTTACAAAGCTGTCCAGGAATCGCGCTGGTAGCCGTGTTTCGTCTGGCTCATATAACGGTCTGAGTGGGTTGGGTCTCGGCATGGGCGGCAGCACCTCAAGCGCTCACCCTTCCAATGCATCAACTGCTTCCCTATCCACGGCTGGGACTCCGGCTACGTCATCGCCGCAGACCCCGAATACCCCAGCTTCTGTCTCAAGCACGGCCTCAGCCAACGTGGGCCCGCCCCCGCCGGCTCTCAAGGAAACCAAGTTTTTCAAGCGTGTCCTGGCAGAGGATGTTGAGCCGACACTCCGACTGGATATCGCCCCGGGCCTGTCCTGGCTTGCGCGTCGCAGCGTTTTGAATGCCATGAGCGATGGCTCAATCGTGGTGGAGCCAATTCCTGCCAATGCGCCCTTTGCCTCAATTGTCAAGCCGCAGTTCTACCCCTGTTCCCTGTGTGGCGACGCACGGAAGGATGAAGAGCACCTGCGAACATACCGTTTCCGAACCAGCGAGTCTGAATCAGCTCAGAGATACCCTCTTTGCAAATATTGCTTAGGTCGTGTGAGATCAACGTGCGATTTCCTCAACTTTTTGCGTATCGTAAAAGACGGGCACTGGCGAGCGGAGGACGAAGACGCAGAGAAGGCTGCCTGGGAGGAAAGCGTTCGCCTGCGGGAACAGATGTTTTGGTCCCGAATCGGTGGTGGCGTCGTCCCGGCCAGTCATCATCACTCACTACCCCTGGAGAAGAGCCCTCGGACTAGCCATGATAGCGAGTCTAGAGACATTGGACCAGAGGTGGCAGTGACGCCTTCGGAGAACATCAATGATGACGCTACTCCCTTTGCCACTCCCCTCGAGGAGACGGCCAGCCAGCTGGATGCCGAGGAGTCATTAGCAAGACCAGAGACGCCTTGCCCGAGTAATCGAAACTCAACACTGTCGTCTTCGCCAGAGACGGGCTCTATTGCAGAGAAGGACGGCGAGAAACGACTGTCTATCAATATTCCCATCCAAGAGGAGCAGCAAATTATCGTTGCGACGAACGAGGAAAAGGTCGAAGCCACAGCATAATCATGAGCGACTTATCGTAACGATCGATCCCCGATTTCTGATACGCACCACATACACTTAATCTTCGATACTGTATTAATTACACCCTACGCCACCATTGCAGAAATGCCGGGGCTCATAATGAAGACCAAACGGGAGAACAACATGGGGGAAGTCAAGGAAGAGGCAGAGCGAATTCACGGAAACGTGATAATAGGATGGACAGAGGGTGCAAAATTCACCTATTTCTTTTTTTCCTTTTTTTTCCATCGTTCTGGGCATCCATTTAGGAAGGGGGCATTGGCGTTTTGGAGAGCAAAAACTGTGTCCCATTCCGAAAAAAGGGAGGACAAGCAAACAGTTGCCGTCATGGGAGCAGGAGAAGAAGGCTGGATCAAAGCAGGCAAAGTTGCTAGATAAACAACAGGAACAAAGGGGGATGGGAGGGGGGATCACAGATACAAGGTTACTGCATCGTAATGCCTTCTTATTAATGCCAAAGATGATGATGCCTCGAGCATTGGATGAACCTTCAAAACCTGTCTATCTGCATTGCAACTTGAACTGTGAGAGAGCCTTTTCATTCCTATGGTGAAAGGTATAACGACTACCGTTGGATAAGACGCATCTTATTCCAACTCAGTTTCCAGTGGCTGTGACCGAGGTAGGCTCCATCGTCGAGATACCAGAGACACATTAAGGTTCCGGGTGAGTATCTTTGGCAAATCACCTAGGAGCAGCATTTATTGGACATGTCATTTCTTTTTGGAATCTTACATTAACAAATGGAAAAAAAAAAAAAAAAAAAGCTTCGGCGTTTTGTGGCCGACCCCCATTTCCACCATCCCGTCTTGTCCGCTCCCATTCACGGCTGGTATACAACGGGGCGAATTGCGACGCAGAGAGCGAGAAAATCCGTGAGATCAAAAGATGAATTTGATCAAACTTTCCCCTCTCATCAGGCCATTACAGTCCAGCCCCGAATTTTTTTCATCACCTTCTTTTTCTTCAAGTTTAGAGTTCAGAGCTCCTCCTGAGCAGTAGCCTCCTTGCCGCCATCACTTGCGGGCTTGGCCTTCTTCTGCTCGGCCTCCCTCTGGCCCTGGACGCTCTCGGCGACCTTGGGCGCCGCGGCTGAGTCGTCGGCCTTGGATTTGGTCTCTTGGTCGACGCCCTGAACGTCAGGGTGAGGAGGAGCGACGTTCTGCTCTTGGGGCAAACCGCCCTCGGGCATCTGCACCTCGTTTCCACTTGCGTCAACGACGCGTGTCCGCGTCTCGTACTTCGTCTTGAACTCGACCTTGCCCTCCAACGCCTTCACCTGCGCCTCGTCGAGTAGGTTGCCGTCCT